AGGCTTCTATTTTGAAGCTTTCCAGCTCTCATCAGGTGGAGAGCGACCCGACGGAGGAGCGCAGGTGGTGGAGATCGATACAGCTCCACATTATCCAGATGGTACAATATCTACTAGAGTACCGACTGAGGTGATGCCAGACGAGCACGATGATGACACGGAGGATACGGGTACTGATGTGCAGGATCAGAGACCGACGACTCAGGTTCAGGATTCTATTACGGTTCGGAGATAGAGGAGAAACATATGAATGCCAACATGGTATGCCGACACAGTTGCGTATGCACTTCTGGTGGAGAGTATCGATGAGATGGTGCTTACTACATTCAGAGAGGCCGAGCAGAGTTCGGAGGCTGATTCGTGGTAGGTAGCTATGTAGGAGGAGATGGAGTCTCTTCACAAGAATGATACGTGGGAGCTTGTTGAGCTTTCAAAGGAGCGGAAGGTAATTAATTGCAAGTGGGTATACATGAAGAAGGAGGGCATTGAGGGAACTCCATTGAGGTTCAAAGCTAGGTTGGTTGCGAAGGGCTATGCACAGGAGGAAGGTGGTAGGTAGCTATGTAGGAGGAGATGGAGTCTCTTCACAAGAATGATACGTGGGAGCTTGTTGAGCTTTCAAAGGAGCGGAAGGTAATTAATTGCAAGTGGGTATACATGAAGAAGGAGGGCATTGAGGGAACTCCATTGAGGTTCAAAGCTAGGTTGGTTGCGAAGGGATATGCACAGGAGAAATGTATTAACTATAATGAGGTTTTCTCTCCGGTGGTGAAGCACTCGTCGATTCGGATTTTGCTAGCTTTGGTGGCATAGTATAGTTTGGAGTTAGATCAGTTGGATATGAAGACGATATTTCTTCATGGTGATCTTAATGAAGAAATATATATGACTCAGCCATTGGGATTCCGAATTGCAGGGAAAGAAAATTGGTTTGTAGGTTGAAGAAATCGCTATACGGTTTGAAGCAGTCTCCTCGACAGTAGTATAGGCGATTCGATGGTTTTATGATTGGTCATTCGTACACTCGGAGCCAGTTTGATCCTTGCGTGTATTTTCACAAGTTGAAAGGAGGTGCGTACATTTATTTATTGCTTTATGTCGATGACATATTGGTTGCCTCTACTTCCAGGTCGGCTATAGATGAGTTAAAAGTTTAGCTTTCAAATGAGTTTGAGATGAAGGACTTGGGTGAGGCCAAACGCATTTTGGGAATAGAGATCAGTATAGACAAGAAGAAGGGCATAATTTATTTGACACATGTGGCTTATTTGAAGAAGGTTCTACAGTGATTTCATGTTAGCATGGATACGAAATCAGTTAGTGTACCATTAGGAGCCCATTTGAAGCTTTCATTTGGTCTTTCACCGAAGTCAGTTGAAGATCGAGAGCTGATGTCGAAGACTCTATATGCGAGTGTGGTTGGGAGCTTGATGTACGCGATGGTATGTACGAGACCAGATTTGTCATAGGTGGTGAGCATGGTTTCGAGATACATGCACGATCCAGGAGTGGGTCATTGGGACGCCGTGAGATGGATTTTGAGGTACATTCGTGGTACGTTTAATGTTGGTTTGATTTATGATCGGGACACTACAGGTGGGCAGTTATGCATTGGCTATGTTGATTCGGATTATGCTGGAGATTTGGATAAGCGCCGGTCTACTATGGGGTATGTGATTACTTTGACCTGTGTGCCGGTGTATTGGATATGCACCTTACAATCGACGGTGGCTTTGTCTACGACGGAGGCAGAGAATATGGTAGTTACGGAGGCTGTGAATGAGGCTATTTGGCTTCGAGGACTTTTGGAGGAACTTGGTATGTCGCAGAGGTCTGTCATTATTTATTGTGATAGCATAAGTGCCATCTATTTGACGAAGAATCAGGTTTTTCATGTGAAGACGAAGCACATTGACGTTCGTTATCACTTCGTTTGGGATGTTCTTGAAGATGGCAATGTGAAGATTGTGAAAGTCCACACGAAGGATAATCCGGTAGATATACTCACAAAGATAGTTCCGAGCAACAAGTTTGATCATTATCGAAACTTATTGCACATTCGTGATTGTTGAGGCCGTTGACGGCCATTTGGATGAACTACGGACGGTTTGATCCCTTGGGAGAGTGGGTACGTAGGCAACCACATTGGTGCAACCGAATTTGGTGAGACGACGTATTGGTGCTCATATTGGTGTCGGCTCGGTTTTGGGAATACTTCGTCGAGGTGGAGAATTATTGGATAGCAGTATTCCTAATCTATTTTGGTAACATGAGGTTATTAGGATTCCTAATCTATTTTGGTAATATGAGGTTATTAGGATTCCTAATCTATTTTGGTAACATAAGGTTATTAGTATTCCTAATTTATTTTGTTTTTGGTTTTAGGATTCCTAGTCTATTTTGGTTTTAGTTTTTCTATATATATGGAGATTAGAATCAATCATCAAAATAGAGAGGATAGTTGTAATCAGAGATTAGAGAGACTTTTGAGCATTATGAGAGGGAGATATTGTGAGCAAGTTGAGAGCTTTGGTTGAGGGCTAGTTTGTGAGTTTTGTGAGATTATAATCATTTGTACTCTCCTTGATTTAGTAGAATCTCCCCATCCTCTCCCCGTGAATATAGGCTATTTGTCGAACCACGTAAAATTGATTGTCTCGCTATTTGTGTGATTTGTAATAGCTTATTTAGGTTCCTTCGACAGGTCAGTCCTAGAACTGATAAGAGAAAGAGCTGATATCTCACTTGATTGGGATATTTTGCTTAAGGTTCTTGTTTCCTTGGTGAAACAGGAATTCATATTGCGATCTGACTCTCTTGTTGTGCTGTCGAAGTGCTGCCGAAATTTTCGCTGCGCGTAACAATTGCCATCGCCTACATAGATATATTTTTCACCATAACTTGGATTTCAGCAGTTCAGGTAACCCTGCATAGACACACTGATGTTAGTTATGGCAACATAATCTAACCACCATGTGTGTCTAGGTACCGAAGATAAATTAATTTCAGAACAAACAAAATTGAAAAGTGTACATTTTTTTGCACGCCGTGCGTGATAGTCATTAAAAAAAGGAGAAATGAAAGACTTATGTCAGGCAGAATTCTAGACTCCTTGATTTTACTGAACTCACTATAAAGGTGAAATTAAGTATTGAGCTCTCACACAACATAATCACATTAATGCATGAGTACCATAGACAAAAATCTATTAGCTTTCTAAATCACACCACAAATAAACTTGTTATTGAAAAATCACATGTGAGAATTTGCTTTATTCGAAAGAATTATAACGAACAATGGAATTAAAATAGACGACTAATATGTTCAATATCTTAACTTCTCAAGTTAATTTGATTCTAAACCTTTTTGTGGTCTAGGAAAAGGGATGCATATCATGAAGTTCAATCGCTTTTAGGGCCCGTTTAGATGGGGTATTTGCCCCGAAAATTAGGAGGAAAGCTGCCAAAATGACAGCTTTTTGGCAGTTTTCATTAAAGAGTCGATTTTGGGTAAAAGCTGCAAAAAAACTGACATTTTGACAGCTTTCCTCTCAATTTTCGAAGCAAAATACCCCATCCAAACGGGCCCTTAAGTTCTCCTGTTTTTCACCCGTAATTGTCAATTTAGACCAAATCATAAAAATCTGTAGTCAATCCAAGGATTATAAAATAAATACACGAAGAATAAATAAAAAGAAATTAAAGGTGGGGTAAGGATTAATACATTTTCTCCTGAAGCGACAATAGAACAAGCTAAATTAGCTGGACAAATTTTCAAAACCGACCACTTTGGGATTTTAATTGCAAAAAACGACCCATTTCAATCTTATTTATAAAAACCGACCCAGTTGGTTGAAACTGGGTCGGTTTTTAAAAAAAAATTTCCCAAACTTCACGGGAGTTCAACTCCCGTGAAGTTTTGTTATGAGAAAAACTTCACGGGAGTTCAACTCCCGTGAAGTTTCCCAAAAAAAATTACAAAAACCGACCTGTTTTCAGCCACTGGCTGAAAACAGGTCGATTTTTGTAAATATTTTCAAAACCGGTCGTTTTTTGCAATTAAAAACCCAAAAGGGTCGGTTTTGAAAATTTGTCCTAAATTAGCTAGACTGGTCCAGTGGTCCCCATGTGATGAGTGGCTTGCTGTATATTATAACTTATTTTTCTACATACTTTTCACTCATCACGACTTTACTACAAGCCCTTCGGTGACAACCCATTAAGTCTTCCTTTTAATTATTAACATCGTAATAAAAATATTATTATTATTATTAAACTTCACGGGAGTTCAACTCCCGTGAAGTTTTGTTATGAGAAAAACTTCACGGGAGTTCAACTCCCGTGAAGTTTCCCAAAAAAAATTACAAAAACCGACCTGTTTTCAGCCACTGGCTGAAAACAGGTCGATTTTTGTAAATATTTTCAAAACCGGTCGTTTTTTGCAATTAAAAACCCAAAAGGGTCGGTTTTGAAAATTTGTCCTAAATTAGCTAGACTGGTCCAGTGGTCCCCATGTGATGAGTGGCTTGCTGTATATTATAACTTATTTTTCTACATACTTTTCACTCATCACGACTTTACTACAAGCCCTTCGGTGACAACCCATTAAGTCTTCCTTTTAATTATTAACATCGTAATAAAAATATTATTATTATTATTATTATACTAGCAATTGGATACGAGAGTGAGAAACCCACTGCAGTATTCTCTGTCCACTGAAAAGGGCAGAAGAATGAGAAATTACTCCCTACGTTATTGCTATCATTATGACTGTTTCAGTTATTTTGAGCTTATTTCCTTAATTTCCTTTTTATATTAATTAGGAACATTTTTTTTATATTTTGGATTTGTCTTGTTCCCTTGGAGATGAAGACAACCAGCTTAGAAAGCAAAAGGAGAAAGGAGAGAAAGCAGGGTGAGAGGGTAAAAAGAGTAGATCAGTGGAGATTCTCTCATTTCTATCGGAGAGAGGGTAAGTTTTTTTTTCTTTCTTTTTTTTTTCCTTCTTCTTTTCCCAATATTTTACACAAATGAGGCAGGCTGCCTCCTTTTTTCTGCTCTGCTGATTGCCCCGTTCTCATCATCAGTCACTCACTCCCATTCTCTTCATTCTCTTCTATCTTTGGTATTTTTGGGTATGAACCCATTTCCCTTTTAATCCACTTTCTCTAAATTTCTTTTTTCTAGTAGATTTTTCTAAGTGGGTTTTGTTCTATTGACTTGCATTTTGCTTTCTAGTTCATTTCCTCGGAAATAGAGTGTGATTTTGGGGGAGTAAGTTTTGTGGTCTCTTTGTTTTGCTTTTATTGTAGATTTGGGTTTTGGAGATAGAGAAGGGAAATGGCGGGAGGAGGAGGAGCAGCAGCACCAAAGCAGGATGAGTTGCAGCCTCATCCAGTGAAGGATCAGCTACCCAATGTCTCCTACTGCATCACTAGCCCCCCTCCCTGGCGTAAGATGTTATTTTTGTGATTTTTATATATATATATTTTTTTTGAGGTAGATGCATTTGCATGAACTCTTACTATTTGTAACTGTGTATAAAGGTTGAGATCTGGGTGAATGTGATTTACTTGGTCTTGTGAAATTGACAGAGATTTATATGTTTCTACTTTTTGATACTAACCCCGTTTTTAATTTAGTGATTTAGTCTCAAAAGACATTTTGTATATGTGCAGTTCTTGCTTGTTTATGTTGTCATTGTTACCATTTAATTTACAGCTTTAGAATGCACTTATTTTGCATTGCTTATTGCCACTAAGTTTGTCATAACATATTTTTCTGTCATCATGTTGCTTTAGATCTAGATCTGATAGCTTTGGTGTTTGGGTTGATAAATCATTTATGCTTGGTTAGCTGCATGCGTCAGCAATTATTTGCTACTTTTTAGTGTTTGGTGCGCATTTTCTTCTCAAGTTATTAAGGCTTAGTTGTAAATGGTTCTGTAGCACAGATAGTATTGCTAGTGCTGGAAATACAGCTAATTTGTCACTATTTCTGGCTTCAAGCATAATTTTGTTGCCATGGGATTTGTCTATCTTTGTTGATCTGTACATTTTGTTAATTTGCTGGATACTAATACAATCACACTCAACTCTGTTATCCATAGTGCAGCTTAGCCTATTTTGGCATGTTTTTCATGCAATCCTCTTGCTTAAATTAGGTTCTTGTGTACTTAAATTTTCTCGTTTGGTAATGCCCCTTTCCATTTTGTTTAGTTGCAATGTCTCAAAGTTCAGGCAAATGTTTATATATACCTTTAGGTTTGTTGCCCAATTTCCAACTTAACCTAACATTATTGCTATCCTTTGCTATTATTTGATGATTGTCCCACATTTTCTTCTAAACTTGTTTTGGCTTAGTTGTAAATGGATCTCTACTTCTGTAGTACAGATATTCTTGCTGGGGCTGGTAATGCAACTAAATTGTTACTATTTTCCGGCTTCAAGCATAATTTTATTGCTATCGGGATTTGTCTAGGCTCTAGATTTGTTGATGTGCACATTTTCATAAATTGGCAAATACTAAAACGATCAACTCATCTCTGTTAGCTATAGTGCAGCTTAGCCCATTTCAACACGTTTTTCATGCTATCCTTTTCCTTAATTTAGGTCCTTGTGCACTTAAATTGGTCCTTGTGCACTTCAATTTTGTCGTTTGGTGATGCCCCTTACCATTTGGTTTAATTGCAAATTGTTTTAGTAGTCTATAAAATTCATGCAAATGTTTATATATAGATGTAGGTTTCTCTTAACCAACTTCTAACTTAACATAACATTTATTTCATATCTTAATGGTCTTTCGAATGCCCCAATGCAGCCGAGGACATTTCTGACTTACGTCCAACTACTATCTATTTAGCACATTACTTGTTTTCTTGATTGGTACACAATTCTCTTTTTCTTGTCAGATTTGGCTTAATTTAAAACTAAATGTAACCTTTGTCTAATGCAGCTGAGGCCATTCTTCTGGGTTTCCAGCATTACCTAGTTATGCTGGGAACTACAGTTATCATTCCCACTGCCCTCGTTCCTCAGATGGGTGGAGATAATGTAAGTGCAAACCCCTTAAATTAAACTGTAACGTTCAGTACATTATATTTGCTTAGTTTTATTTATAGTTTGAATCAATATGATACTACCCATTGAACAGACCTTTCAAATTTCCGTAGGACGAGAAAGCTCGGGTTATTCAAACTTTACTTTTCGTCGCTGGTTTAAACACTCTATTACAGAGTTTCTTTGGAACTCGTCTACCTGCTGTAATTGGAGGATCCTACACATTTGTGGTGCCTACTATCTCCATCATCTTGGCTGGCCGCTACAGTGATATCCAAGATCCTCATGAGGTTGCTACCAGAAACCCGATTGTTATTCTATTAGCATCTCTTAACTGTTGACTGTTTGTTTTCATCATCAGAAATTTATACGCATTATGCGTGGAACCCAAGGTGCCTTGATTGTAGCTTCAACACTTCAGATTGTCGTTGGTTTTAGCGGCCTTTGGCGCAATGTTACTAGGTTAGTAGTGTACATTAATATTTCAGTTTCTTCTGTTTATAAAACTATTTATTTATTTACTTTTGTACGAACAGATTTCTGAGTCCACTCTCAGCAGTTCCTCTAGTCGCCTTGACTGGATTTGGTCTGTATGAGTTGGGTTTTCCTGGGGTAAGCCTTATTTTCTTTTGTTATTTCAGTAAGAAGGTTAGATTTCCCTTACTAATATATTAAATGTAAGTGCAGACACCAAACAAGAGAACACTTGGATTAAAAAAAACTGTAAAAGATTGCCCAAATGAAAATTTACGATAAAACTCTATATTTAACCAATCAGTAACAGATAAAACTGACGTAAGGGACTCAATATGGATACAAGATTAGGCTCCGGTAATTTCTCCGAGCAGAGCTGATATGAGTGAAACCTGCTCGTAGATGACTTTAGAGCATTCTGATTTCAGAACATCTTTGCACCATGGCTAGGTTAACAAAATCTCAAGATAAAACACTCTATACTGCTCAACCAGAAATACAAAATGCAATCTGATTCCATCTCTATTTCAGAACAAAATCTCTGTAACAGAGCTTCAGAATTCATCTAACGCCGAATGTATCTTTATGTGGAACAGCTCAAAAATACATTACACAACTTCAGAACATAATTTCCTGTACTGATTTCAGAACAAAACCCCACTTTCTGTGAACAAAAGCAAGATTTTCAGTATTAGCGTAACCTCCTCAACCTCAAAACAGAATACCCCGAAATGATTTCAGCTAAAATTTCCTGCCTACTGTGTAGTCTCGTTTGCATCATACACATGCTTGTCCTGTAGAGCTTCAAGATTGTTGTACCAGAAATGTCAGATTCTTGTTCATTTCTATGATCTGTCACAATTGCTGCTTTGCTGTTTATGCAGGTCGCTAAGTGTATTGAGATTGGGCTCCCACAGCTAATTTTGCTGATAGTCTTTTCCCAGGTACTGTGCTGCAATACAAAATTTTTCACCTTCGTTTATGTAGAAACTGCAGCAAAGTTTATTCCGCTGTTAATATTGCTGTTTATCTTTTCCCATGGTGCCCTTAGTTAAACATCATTTATCTTCCTCTGACAGTACATACCCCATGCAATACATTCGGAGAAACCTGTCTTCGATCGGTTTGCAGTCATATTTTCGGTGGCGATTGTGTGGCTTTATGCATACTTTCTCACTGTCGGCGGAGCCTATAAGAATGCAGCTCCGAAAACACAATTGCATTGTCGTACTGATAGTTCTGGGCTCGTTGGTGCAGCTCCTTGGTTAGTTCTATTGCATGCTATTTTTATTAGTCTTGTAAATTAGAAATATCTTTACACTTAAATTTCTGTCAAAATGCTACGCTTGTAGGATAAGAGTTCCTTATCCTTTTCAATGGGGAGCCCCCACATTTGATGCTGGTGAAGCTTTTGCAATGATGGCTGCTGCATTTGTTGGTGTTGTGGAGGTTGTATTGCACTTTTGTACCTTCTTAAGGACTAGAAGAGAGAATTTCTTTAGAATACTCTTTTTTGCAATTTGATTGTTCAGAAGCTGGAGTAATTTTCTTTCTTCTGCCTTGAAGTCCACTGGCAGTTTCATTGCTGTTTCAAGATATGCAAGTGCCACACCGTTGCCTCCATCAATTCTCAGTCGTGGTATTGGGTGGCAGGTACCAAATTGAAAGCCTTTATATGAATTGTTAGCATGTTGATTTTGCTGCATCAGCTGTTATGTTTCTTCTCTTATTTTCTCCTTTAAAGATGATCTTAATTGGTGTTGATTCCAGGGAATTGGTATCTTGTTGGATGGGTTATTTGGAACCGCAAGTGGATCCACTGTTTCTGTGTAAGATAATTGCTATAGACCAAATATGTTGGATTTCATGATTAAAAACGTGTTCTTCTTTACGCGTTTGAGGTCTCATTTTCATTTATATTCTGCAGGGAAAATGCTGGTTTGCTTGCACTGACTCGCGTAGGAAGCCGAAGAGTTGTGCAGATATCTGCCTGTTTTATGATTTTCTTCTCTATTCTGGGTATCTTTGCTATTAACTCACATCTATTTTTTTAATACATTTAGCGCTTTCTGTTTTTCTCATTTCATATGAAAGTTACCAGCTATTTTCTAATCATTCTTTTCTCGTGCCCTAATAGTTGGCAAGGAAATTTCTAAGTTACTGGATTACCACCTTTTTACCGTTGCATAAAAGATTATAAATAACTTGAGTTTTTTGAGCTGATACTCATTGTGTCATAGTTCTTTACCAGAGCAGGACTCGTGATTCAAAGTTTGTTTATGTACTTAAACATACATAAGCTGATTACATCTGTCAATTTTTCGAATCAATTTCAGGTAAATTCGGAGCAGTTTTTGCATCCATTCCTCCGCCTATCATTGCAGCCCTTTACTGTCTTTTCTTTGCTTACGTGGGTATGTATTATTGCCCGAGAGACTTGCCCTTATCAACTTCTTTCTTCATCAATACAAATATTACAAATTTTATAGCATTCTTGCTTATTTTTGTGAGCATAATTGGTGCCATCGACAGGTTCCGTGGGTCTTAGTTTCCTACAATTCTGCAACCTAAACAGCTTTCGGACCAAATTCATCCTTGGATTTTCATTATTCATGGGCTTATCTATTCCACAATATTTCAATGAATACACTTCTGTAGCTGGTTATGGTCCAGTTCACACCCACGCTCGCTGGGTAAGCAAAAAACCCTACAGTCATACATCAGGGATCAATTCTATCCTTGTTCTGGACTAACTTATGGTCTATTTTTGCTTGCAGTTTAATGACATTATCAATGTCATATTCTCTTCAGAACCATTTGTTGCGGGATTTGTAGCTTTCTTCTTGGACAACACCCTTCATAGGCATGACAGTGCATCGAGGAAAGACAGAGGTTATCACTGGTGGAAAAAATTCCGATCTTTCAAGACTGACACAAGGAGCGAGGAATTCTACTCCTTGCCTTTTAATCTCAACAAGTTTTTTCCATCAGTGTGAGTGTGAAGATTCACGATACTTGAAGACCGCCACTGAAGAATAGATTTTTTGTGGGTTTAATTTGTATATTTTGATAGCCAATATGGATTAAAATTGGAAGGATGTTATGTCCTCAGCTTCGGTAATCTCTATAACGCATTTAGCTACTCTTCACCATTTGTCCTTGGCTTCTGCGCCTAACTTCTCAATATTCTGATTAGTTCTGTATCTTATGCCTACAGATAATTCTATTTTTGTTCCAGTACCAACATAGTTATGTGTGTATGAACATTGCCTCAATTTTTATTTCAAGCTTTCCTCCACAGCGATTGGCATTGCTTTGAGCGTCAGATATGATTCCTGTAGTGCAAGTTTTGAGAGTTTTCATGAGGGATTATTGACTTGGTATGCATGCAGGATCTAGTCGTTTAGAATAATTAGGATTATGTCGCAGGCTGATGCTTATAATTTATAATATACTTGTAGTGCATATACAATGTTTTGCTTCTAAGTTGCATATGATTCATAGATTTTTCATTTTAAAAGTATCGTTATCTTTTGTTTTGTTTTGCTTTTTCCCCTTTTTATTTTTGAAGGGATAAACATTACAGGAAACTTTCTGTTATGATATTCTTCATATATGTTTGTAACCCTTTGATGTGTTAGTCGCCAATAATCTCACTTTTACAAATAAAAAGTATTGAAGTATAAGTACATGAAAATTTTATCATCTGGGATTTATACAAATAGTATGATCAGTCAACATCCTTTGCATTATAATGAAGAAATGTTTGATCTCTTTAAAATGTAAAATAGAAATCTCCAGTTTGATCAGACTGACAGTAAGAAACCTAGCTCAAAACCTGCAAAGTATTTCTGGATTCGGGATTTAGATCCATTACCGGTTAACAGCCATACTTGAAGTCGAAGGAAACTAAAAGGATTTTCTTTTCTATATTAGTCCCGTAAAGCTTTAATATTTTGAAACTAGTCCCTCAAATCATTGAAATTGCTGTCCTCCAAATTCATACTCTGATTAATAATTTGCCCTCAATCATTTAAATTGTCATCCGACCCCTCCAATCCTACAAGTTGTTTCAAATTAATCCCTTCAATATCAAGAGTAGCATATCACCAGCAATAGCTAGGGTGGAAACAAACCAAATAATTAAAAAAATGTTAATTGTTCAAGTAACTATTCAGTTACATTAGATTTGGTATTTCATTTAACACTAAGTAAATATTTTTTCATATTCGAACTCATTAATGAATAGAATTTAATCAGATGCATATTTGATTCGTTTGCTTATTAAAGATTCCTTTATAATTTGATTGTACAATTCATATAACAATACACAAGATGTTATATTTTCATTCCACTTATCATTTCTACTTAGGTTTTACATATTAATTTTGAGATACTTAAATAATACTATGATATATATATATATATGTATATATATTAATATTATATATATATATATATATATATATATATATATATAGTATATATATAATATATATAGCAGAGGTTAGAGCAGACTAGCAGGAGACTCTCATCGATCGAGATGAGAATCGAGAGAGAAGGAGAGAGAGAGCAGAGACGAGGCAGAAAGACTCCTATCTGTGAATTTGGTCTCTTAGGCCTCAGATTTCGAGGCAGACAGTTTGGCTGGTCGACCGGGGCGGCTCGATCGCCGTTTCGTGCACCGCACTCACTATGCACTGGTCATTCTAGTGTGCCTAGGTCAGACCGCCTGGCGGTCGACCGCAGTAAGTTTCTGTTTTCACCACGCCGGTCGACCCCAGAAGTCTCTGCGAGGTTGGGGCTGGCCCTGTTCTGGAGTTGCCGGCGGCCTCGACCGCCGAAGCGGTTTGGGCCTGGGTTCTGTTTCCAGACCCGTTTCGTTTGGGAATTGTATAAATACCCTTAACTCGGTTTTAGGGTTTAAGGGAGAAGATTTTGAGCAGCCAAACAAGGAGATTTGGGGCTTCTATTGTTGGAGCCATTTGGAGAGATTAAGTGGGCTTATTTGTGGGTTTTTGGTAAGATTTGTAACCCTAATTTGTATTCCCCTTGATTTCAAATAGTAAAACTCCGTCCTCCTTGCCCCGTGGACGTAGGCACATTGCCGAACCACGTATATCTTGTGTTCTTACTGTGATTGGGTTACTTGTGGCTATTGTGATCTATTGTGGTTCTTGTGTGTGCTATTGATTTTGTCTAATCGGGCTTCAGCGGCGCACAACAAGTGGTATCAGAGCTCCGGGTTGGATTTGGGAGTTTTGTTCGAATGATTCACTATTGGATTCTTGTTTGAAGAGTAGATCTACAATATGGGTGATACAAGCAGGGCTAGTTCAAGTGCTACAAGTACATCGGGGTCGGCTTTGACAAAGGCGATCCAAAATTTGAGCATCAATAATACAAAAGTTGATGTTCCAAAGTTTGACGGCAAGATCAACTTTGATTTATGGAGGTGTCAAGTAATGGATGCCTTAGATGCACAAAATTTAGAGGAGACTCTTGTGCTACAAGAGAAACCCGAAGATATTGAAGATAGGGTTTGGAAGAAAATGCACAGTAGGGCTTGTAGGGTTATGAGGTCATGCTTGACGCCGGATCTCATTTATGATGTGATGAACGAGACGTCAGTGAAGAGATTGTGGGAAACGTTCAATAAAAAATATTTAACGAAGAGCATTAAGAATCGGCTTCACTTGAAGAAGAGGTTCTACCAATTCAAGATGAAGATGAGAGTTTCCATTCGAGAGCATGTTAACAACTTCACAAAGCTAATTTCGGATATGGCCAATATTGATATCATGGTGAAGGATGAAAACGAGGCGATGTTACTATTGTGTTCGTTGCCGGATGACGAGTTTAGTACCTTTTTTCTCACTATGATAAATGGGCAAACTACAGTTAGCTACAAGGAGGTGACCTCGGTATTGGTAAATTATGAGCTGAGGAAGAATGATAGTGAGCCCTCCGAGAAGGCATCGGGTGATACATTAGCAGTTCGTGGCCGTAGTCCAAACCGTCAAAGATTCAACCGCTCAAAATCAAAGAATAGGGGTGGTCATAAAAGTGTTGGTAGAAATTAATGTGCCTTTTGTAAAGAAGAGGGATATTAGAAGAACGAGTGCCCAAAGTTGAAGGATAGAGCCGGGAAGCAAAGTGGGAAAGCTGTACAAGCTTCAGAGGTGAATGTTGCTAAGGTTGTTGGCGACACTTCAGATTCGAATTCTTCCGGTTATTCTTGTCCCACACCGCTGTCAGTTTGTTATGCCGACTCTACGGAGTGGATGCTTGATTCGGGAGCTACATTTCACATTTGCCCTAAGAGGGATTGGTTTACCAGCTTTGAGGAGTTAGAGAGAGGGGACATAGTGCTCATGGGGAACGATCACGTTTGTCCTATTAGTGAGATTGGCTCAGTCAGAATCAGAATGCACGACGGGGTGACTAGGAAATTGAAAGAAGTGAGGTTCGTGCCGCAGTTGACGAAGAATATCATTTCTCTTGGAACTTTGGAGGCAACTGGTTACAGAGTGATCTTAGAGGATGCTACTTTTGAAGGTCATGAAGGGATCCATGGTGGTGATGCGAGATGTCAGGGAAAACAACATATACTACTTGAAGGGCAAGACAGTTACAGGGTGTTTGGCTGCTTCTATCACCACAGAGGAGGAGACTACCACACTATGGCACACGAGGCTTGGACACACAGGTGATAAGTCCCTACAGTCATTAGCAAAACAAGGGCTATTGAAAGGTGCAAAGATCTGCAAGATGGAGCTGTATGAGCATTGCATTCTTGAGAAGAAGACTAAAGTAAAGTTTGGCACCGTAATTCACAACACACAAGGTATATTAGACTACATTCACACAGATGTTTGGGGCCCTTCTAAGCACACATCGCTTGGTGGGGCAAATTATTTTGTTACTTTCATTGATGACTATTCCAGGAGGAATTGAGTAATACAATGAAGCATAAACATGAAGTCCTGGATAAATTTGTAGAGTGGAAGAAGAAAGTAGAGCTGCAAACTGATAGAAAGGTTAAGACTCTTCGTTCAGACAATGGTAGAGAGTATAAGAGTGATCCATTTCTGCAGTTTTGTAGGGATCACGGCATTAGAAGACACTTCACAGTTAGAGAGACACAGCAACAGAATGGGGTGGCATAGAGGTTGAACCATACCTTGCTGGAGAAGGTGCGATGTATGATGATGCAGAATGGATTGGCTAGATCCTTTTGGGCCGAGGCATTAGTTTATGCGAGCCATCTCGTTAACAGGTTGTCGTGCACTGTGATAGAGGGAAAGACTCCTATGGAGCGTTAGTCTGGTTTTGTGGCTAGTGATTATGAGATTCTTCGGATATTTGGGTGTCCAGCTTATTTCCATGTTAGTGATGGGAAGTTGAATCCGAGAGCGAGGAAGGCTATCTTTGTGGGATTTAGAGAAGGTGTCAAAGGCTTCAAATTATGGGATCTACAAGACAAGAAGATGATCATTAGCAGAGATGTCACATTTGATGAGGCGTACATGATGAAGCCTCGAGTTTCTCAGCAGGTGGAGGAAGATCAGACATGAGAGATATCGCAGCAGGTGGAGGATGATGTGACTTCACATACTCCAGTCAGCAGTGTGTCCATTGAGACTCCTACAGAGGTGGCACTGGAAGGAGATGAGATGACAGTCGGGCATTTAGAGGATACAGTGGATGGTGAGACTCAGGAGCAGGGTCATGCTCAAGGGTCCATTGCAGCAGATAGACCGAGGAGAGAGATTCGTTGGCCAGCTAGATATGATGATGTCATGGTGGCATATGCTTTATCTGTGGAGGTTGTTAATGATTTGATTCCTACCACATTCAGGGAGGCAAAGTCTAGCCCTGATTCTATTAGGTGAAGAAATGCTATGGAAGAGGAGATGCAATCTCTTCAGAAGAACGACACTTGGGAACTTGCAAAGCTACCTAAGGGTAAGAAAGCTATTGATTGCAAGTGGGT